CTTCCGGTTCTGTTGTCAACTCCACAGTTACCCTGCTGATGACGTGTTATCTGGTGCGCCCGAGCGTCGTTTACAGTCTGGGGGAGACGCACACTGTATTCAAGCTATTCTACATTGTTTGTATTTTAGTATTGCTATATTTTTTTACAATGGTGCGTAAGTGTGCATGTCGCGGATCCTAATCGCCAAAAACACTCAGGCGCACCAGATAACACGTCATCAGCAGGGTCACTGTGGAGTTGACAACAGACCGGGAAGAGAATACAATTGTATTGTTTGCTTGAAATGCTTCAGAAAACTCTGACTAACCCACTGATGTCACATGGACTACTTTGAAGTCTTTATTAGCTTTCTGGACAAGGACATTAAACCGGCCATACATGTTCAATGGAGGGACAGAAAGCTCTCGGACTAAATCTAAAATATCTTAAACTGTGTCCTGAAGATGAACGGAGGTCTGACGGGCTTGGGGCGACACGAGGGAGAGGCATTAATGACATCAGTTTCATTTTTGGGTCAACCTCATCTTTTAATTTAATTTATTTATTTTATTATTAAATACATTTTATTTATTAATCCTTTAATTTATTTTGCTTACAGGCAGTTTTTTTGTTTTGTTTATTTTGCTATGTGGTTACCCTGGGCCTTTTAATGTCAGGATTCACTTTTATTTTTATGTTCATTTTTACAATGCTGTCCTTTTAAGGAACGGATTCTTGAGTTGACCAAATCAAATATATTGCAGTAATTCAACAAATGTTGTGTTGTGTGTTAATAATGACAAACCTATATTATTTTCAACATTATTAGCTTAAATGCAGATGAATTACGTTTAGTAGTCAAACAATTAATTATGGTAGATTTTTTCATAAACCTATCTACATACCTATAATATTTATACTCTAGCGCATCTAAAGTCGAGGTCAGCCGAGTCTAACCCTATACTCTAGCGCATCTACACATCGACTGCGGCTGGGTGCTAATCCTATACTCTAGCGTAGAGGTTTAGTTCCAACCTGCTTCAGCACACCTGCCGTCGTATTTTCAAGCAAACCTGAAGAGCTTGATGAGCTGATTCAATTTATTTTTAGAAGGCATCTCACGGAAGCAGTAGGGTTGGCAGTTCTGTAATATATTCCATATTATTATTATGGTGTGCCTCAGTCACTTTGGTCTTATAATCCTTGTGTCCTTTCAAAGCAGGTTATATTTGGTGTATGTGTCTGGTGACCTGGCCTTATACACCTTGTGTCCTTTCAAAGCAGGTTATATTTGGTGTATGTGTCTGGTGACCTGGCCTTATACACCTTGTGTCCTTTCAAAGCAGGTTATACTTGGTGTATGTGTCTGGTGAAATCATTGACCCTGTACACCACACTGTCCTTATAGACCCTGTTACAGAGAAGTCTTTACAAACCACCAAAAAGTCAGAAAAAGAGCCATTTTTTATATCTCAGTTGTGCAAAGAAAATCTTTAAATTTTAAGTCGTGTATAGGTTCGCTGATTTTTTTCATGATTTTTGATATGTATTTTGTAGCTCTAGCACCACTGGAACCCGGTGTCCCCGTAGCCCTATACCCAGTCTGATTTGTCATAAATTTAAAAAATTGTCCCTTTAGTCCGACAAACGGGTATGTGTGTGTGGACAGATGTGTGTGTGTGTGTGTGGACAGATGTGTGTGTGTGTGTGTGTGTGTGTGTGTGTGTGTGTGTGTGGACAGATGTGTGTGTGTGTGTGTGGACAGATGTGTGTGTGTGTGTGTGTGTGTGTGTGTGTGGACAGGTGTGTGTGTGTGTGTGTGTGGACAGATGTGTGTGTGTGTGTGTGTGTGGACAGATGTGTGTGTGTAGACAGATGTGTGTGTGTGGACAGATGTGTGTGTGTGTGTGTGTGTGTGTGTGTGTGTGTGTGTGTGGACAGGTGTGTGTGTGTGTGTGTGTGGACAGATGTGTGTGTGTGTGTGTGTGTGTGTGTGTGTGTGTGTGTGTGTGTGTGTGGACAGATGTGTGTGTGTGTGTGTGTGTGTGTGTGTGTGTGTGTGGACAGATGTGTGTGTGTGTACAGATGTGTGTGTGTGTGTGTACAGAAGTGTGTGTATGTGTGTACAGATGTGTGTGTGTACAGATGTGTGTGTGTGTACAGATGTGTGTGTGTGTACAGATGTGTGTGTGTGTGTACAGATGTGTGTGTACAGATGTGTGTTTAGATGTGTGTGTGTGTGTGTACAGATGTGTGTGTGTGTACAGATGTGTGTGTGTGTACAGACGTGTGTGTGTGTGTGTACAGGTGTATGTGTGTAGATGTGTATGTGTGTACAGATGTGTGTGTGTGCAGGTGTGTGTGTGGACAGATGTGCGTGGACAGATGTGTGTGTGTGTGTGGACAGGTGTGTGTGTGTGTGTGTGTGTGTGTGGACAGATGTGTGTGTGTGTGTGGACAGATGTGTGTGTGTGTGTGGACAGATGTGTGTGTGTGTGGACAGATGTGTATGTGGACAGATGTGTGTGTGTGTGTGTGTGTGGACAGATGTGTGTGTGTGTGTGTGTGTGTGTGTGGACAGATGTGTGTGTGTGTGTGTGGACAGATGTGTGGACAGATGTGTGTGTGTGTGTGTGTGTGGACAGATGTGTGTGTGTGTGGACAGATGTGTGTGTGGACAGATGTGTATGTGGACAGATGTGTGTGTGTGTGTGTGTGTGGACAGATGTGTGGACAGATGTGTGTGTGTGTGTGTGTGTGGACAGATGTGTGGACAGATGTGTGTGTGTGTGTGGACAGATGTGTGTGTGTGTGTGTGTGTGTGTGTGTGGACAGATGTGTGTGTGTGTGTGTGTGTGTGTGTGTGTGTGTGGACAGATGTGTGTGTACAGATGTGTGTGTGTGTGTGTGTGTGTGTGTGTGTGTGGACAGATGTGTGTGTGTACAGATGTGTGTGTGTGTGGACAGATGTGTGTGTGGACAGATGTGTGTGTGTGGACAGATGTGTGTGTGTGTGTGTGTGTGTGTGTGTGTGTGTGTGTGTGTGTGTGTGTGGACAGATGTGTGTGTGTACAGATGTGTGTGTGGACAGATGTGTATGTGGACAGATGTGTGTGTGTGTGTGTGTGTGTGTGTGTGTGGACAGGTGTGTGTGTGTGTGTGTGTGTGGACAGATGTGTGTGTGTGTGTGTGTGTGTGAACAGATGTGTGTGTGTGTGTGTGTGTGTGTGTGGACAGATGTGTGTGTGTACAGATGTGTGTGTGTACAGATGTGTGTGTGGACAGATGTGTATGTGGACAGATGTGTGTGTGTGTGTGTGTGTGTGTGTGTGTGTGTGTGTGTGTGTGTGTGTGTGTGTGTGTGTGGACAGATGTGTGTGGACAGATGTGTGTGTGTTTGGACAGATGTGTGTGTGTGGACAGATGTGTGTGTGTGTGTACAGATGTGTGTGTGTACAGATGTGTGTGTGGACAGATGTGTGTGTGGACAGATGTGTATGTGGACAGATGTGTGTATGGACAGATGTGTGTGTGGACAGATGTGTGTGTGTGGACAGATGTGTGTGTGTGGACAGATGTGTGTGTGTGTGTGTGTGTGTGTGTGTACAGATGTGTGTGTGTGTGGACAGGTGTGTGTGTGTGTGTGTGTGTGTGTGGACAGATGTGTGTGTGGACAGATGTGTGTGTGTGGACAGATGTGTGTGTGTAGATGTGTGTGTGTGTGCAGATGTGTATGTGGACAGATGTGTGTGGACAGATGTGCGTGTACAGATGTGTGTGTGTGTGTGTGTGTGTGTGTGTGTGTGTGTGTGTGTGTGTGGACAGATGTGTGTGTGTGTGTGTTTTGTGTACAGATGTGTGTGTGTGTACAGATGTGTGTGTGTGTACAGATGTGTGTGTGTGGACAGATGTGTGTGTGGACAGATGTGTATGTGGACAGATGTGTATGTGGACAGATGTGTGTGTGTGTGGACAGATGTGTGTGTGTGTGGACAGATGTGTGTGTGGACAGATGTGAGTGTGGACAGATGTGTGTGTGTGTGTGTGTACAGATGTGTGTGTACAGATGTGTGTTTAGATGTGTGTGCGTGTACAGATGTGTGTGTACAGATGTGTGTGTGTGTGTGTACAGACGTGTGTGTGTGTAGATATGTATGTGTGTACAGATGTGTGTGTGTGTGTGTGTGCAGATGTGTGTGTGTGAGGAAAGATGTGCGGGTACGGATGTGTGTGTGTGTGTGTGTGGACAGATGTGTGTGTGTGTGTGTGGACAGGTGTGTGTGTGTGTGTGTGTGTGTGGACAGATGTGTGTGTGTTTGGACAGATGTGTGTGTGTGGACAGATGTGTGTGTGGACAGATGTGTGTGTGGACAGGTGTGTGTGTGTACAGATGTGTGTGTGTGGACAGATATGTGTGTGTATATGTGTGTGTGGACAGATGTGTGTGTGGACAGATGTGTGTGTGTCTACATATGTGTGTGTGAGGACAGATGTGACGTAATGACGCAAAGACATGCTCGAATCTCCCGCTGAAATCCACCAGTACCACTGGAATTAAAAACATTATTACAAGCTTACCGCTGTGAATCGAGCTACGGCAAGCAGAGAGTTTTGAACACTGGCTGGTTATGTATTTTCTCAAATATGTATTTTGGATAATTTTTAATCCCAAAAAAGCTACGGACTGCAGCTTTAAGTGTATTATAAATAAATAATTGGTTAGTCAAATACTCAATTCTTATAGTGAAAAAAAAATCAATTATTTGTGTATGTTTATCTCAAACAATCAAATAAATGATATTCAGAGATTTTAAGTTAATAAAGTTAAATATTACTGTGATATTTACTGAGCCACAGAATAATTACACAGAGTGTAGATAAAAAAACCCACATATAAATGTGAGCAATAGGGAAACCCAGAAAGTGCACTGCTATAACCAATGAAACATAAGCCCTGCTATCTTCAAATAAATAAACTTCAGTCACACTGTAATTGCTGTACAGTATAATGACACTAACTGTAGTTTCTCCAGCTTGAATTGTGGGTTCATCAGTAGATCACTGAGGTTTTTCACTCCAGAGTCTCCTAGTTTATTCACGCTCAGGTCCAGCTCTCTCAGGTGTGACGGGTTTGATTTCAGAGCTGAAGTCACATCAGAACAACCTTCATCTGTCATATCACAGCAGCTTAACCTACATTAGCAGAGAGAGAGAGAGAGAGAGAGAGAGAGAGAGAGAAGAAAATAAGAGACTCTTTATTCTGTAAAGTCACATCATCTTCATCAGCGAATAAAACAGACAGAGAAAGAAAGATCTTCATATTTATTTCACCAGATCACAAAATACTACTGTGAAAATGTTTGTACAAATATAATGTTAATGTGTTTTAGTTTAAACAGTTGAAGTGATTTTAACTCTCTGGGGTCGGCGGTCTCGCCGGCGATACCAGCTCACTTTTTTCATTATCAGTGCAAAAGAGACTCAAATTACTCTGTTGATTTTGATCTTACATATAAGTGTTGTACATCATTCGATCCTGTTAAGTTTGTATTTTTTTTGTGGAACCTCATAATAAAAACAAAGTGTTGTGCTTTTCGCCTAATAAAGAAAAATAAACATGATGCGCGTTCTGCGTTCTCTCTGTCAGTGAAGTCCATTCTGAAACGCGTCCGAAAAATGAACTGTAACTCTGCAAATACTCAGTCAAACAGGTATCCACGCCCACATCAGCTGGATAACCCACCGAAAGAGACTCATATTTACGACGCTGTGAGGAATAATACTATCTTAATAATAATCCTGGAAAAAATTACCTCAGAAGTACAGGTAGTTTCATTTGGAGGAGCAACGGATCCAGCTGAGGAATAGGTAGGCCTACATTCTTTATTCTCAAGTGCTTTGTGCTAATCGCGATATGAAATAGTGTCTGTAAACAAAAAGACTGTTTGAATATGAATCGCATTTTTGTGTGTGAATGAATGAACAGCTTTTACCTAACTATATTCCAATACTGAGATGAGTAAAAATCGACTGAAATATGTTGAAATAAAATATTTTTGTATATGCAACGTATTAAACTGCAAATTAACATTTATATGTCCGAATCATAAAAACTATATGTTACATATGAAAGACAAGATGTCGTTTTTACTGTAAAATACGATGTTATTATAGTGTTTGTTCGATTGTAGGCTATTTTCAAACTAATTAATCCGCAACTGTGAAATATGTATGATAAAATGTATACTTTAATATATACAAAGAAAGATTACATTTGAAATATAGTTAATTTTAATTGTTGTTGTAATTGTAACCTTTTTATTAAAATAGCAAAAATATATGTAGGCTACATATAAATAAATCTTAGGTAAATCTTAAAAGCTCAATATAAGCCTTCTCTTTAAATTATTTGTATTGTGTTTTATTAGTGACACATTTGGGATATATTCCCAAACTTTCTGTAAAAACAGTATGAGAATTAACTGCACAATTACTAGAAATGTTTACATTTTATATTATACAATTTGCAAGCACAATTTGAAAAATAAATAAATAATTGGAACTGTGAACCAATTTTGTATTATATAGGCCTATATATATATATATATATATATATATATATATTGTCATTGCATTCTTGTGGCTCAGTGACACACCTGAATGAAAGGGTCATTAGTATGCAGCCCCATTATGCGCTCATTATGCGGGCCCATTGTCTTCTCAGGTGTGAATCACAGCAGGTCACACCCCTGCGCATATTGCCTTTCCAAACAAAAAGTGTCATTTTTAAATTTAAATCAATCTATTGTTTTATGTGAATGATAAGGCAGGATGATTTTCAGATCATTTTGAAGAAAAAACTCTAGGCGACAACATCCATTAGTTTAAAGTCTTGTGGACACATATTTAGTATGTTGATAACACATTATGGTAGCCCTGTGTGTGCTAAATAGAGTGTAATTACACCTTTGCCAGTAATTTGTTTATAAGCAACTGAAAAAAGCACAAATGTCAGAGTATGTCAAAACATCTCAAGGACCCCAAAAACACCTTGGACCCCAGAGGGTTAAGCATTTTGATTCTTGTATGTGAATGTGACTGACCTCAATCTCTCCAGTTTACAGTGTGAATCCTTCAGTACGGCACATAAGTGCTTCACTCCTGTGTTTCCTAGATTATTCCCGCTCAGGTCCAGCTCTCTCAGGTGTGACGGGTTTGATTTCAGAGCTGAAGTCAGGATGAGACTCTGTTTCTCTGTAATACTGCATCTATACAGACTGAAGACAGAGAAATAACAATAGTTCACATCTCTGATGATCATCTTATTGAAGAGCTACAGCAGCATTTAGTTTCCAATAGTCTGTTTTAAAACCCAGTCACACTAGTTCTGTCAGTCAGTGCCGTGATCCTAAACTACAAGTTCATTGGTGAATTCCTCCTCCTCGTCGCTCTCCTCCACTTCTCCCTCTCCGGCCTCCGCTAACTCCTCCTGCCTCGCTTGCGCTAACAGCTCCGCCCAGATGCGCAGGGCTCTCTTGCGTGCGCAATCTGCACCATACCGAACTGGCTTAAACAGACGATCTGACGGGTTTTAGAAGATTAAATACAACCCGAAACTAAAAAACAGACCAGGCCTCTATTTGAGACCGGCCTTTATTTATCCAAGCCTGTCGCCACACCAGGCGTGTAAAAGAGACAGGCGTCTATTTGGGACTCGGCTATTATGTGAAGCTTTACGGTATGCATGGTAATTCTGAATAATGTCCCTAGGGGCACCTCATATTTTCGGTTGCAAATTGATGGTCACAGGCCCGCAGTGCTTTTGGCTGGATTTGTGCGCAAAAAAACGTGCCAAAAGTGTAAACGAGGAAAAATGAAAGTCAGAAGAATACAGATCCTATTTATTTTGCATAAACATGAAGCTGCAGCTTCAAAATACATGAATTACACTTACGAATACGATTAAAATGCTGCAAATATTTTTTTCTTACACTTTTACAAATCGTCTCTTGCACATGCTAATTTAATTTACACTTGCAATCTTAAGTACAATTTCACAAATCTTACCCTGCGCATGCGATTCTTTATGGCATCATAATACCTCCATACACAAGCACCTATTAAATATATTTCCATAATAGTATTATTGTATAAATATATATTTATATACTTCGAATGTGTTTGAATATTTCACCAGTATCAGCACTGGGACTTGTCACTGTATTACTCCACTTGTCTGTGTTTGTGCAACTTGCATCTGTAAGCCAGTAGGGGGCGACACGTGACTGTCTTTATGAGTGAGCAATTAAACCATTAATTGAACTGATTAGTCCAAAAACATTGATTAATTCAGGAAATAAACAAGTTGCTGAAACTGATCTTTGATGCTCATCCATATTGCTCATATGCCTCTGGACACAGAAGGATTGCATTGGCGTTTGACTGAAATGTAACATCTATGCAAAATAATCATTGAATCATTTATCATTCCTGTTTGGAATAAGTGATTGTGTTTGTCAACAATAAGCATAACATTTCTGGATTTCAATTTGTAGTGTGGATCATTCATTGCAACATTTAACCTGATTCTCAAGTTTAAGAATCTGTTTTCTGCTTGACAAATAATGTATGCTGCTGCCCACTGACATGCTTTTAAAGCTATTGATATCCAATTGTGTTGTCCTTCAAACACCTTAAATTGCACATGTGTAGATCAGGAAAATCTAAATTTCCCCTGAATCCCCCAAGCAACATCAATTTTGGGACCTCAGTTTTTATAAAACCCTGCGTACGGCTCTGCCTTCATGTGACCATTGTCTTCTGTCTGGCTTTGTTCCCTGTAACTGCTGTTGGTGACGTTCATGTTTCTCAGTCAAGTCTTTGTTTTTGTAGTTTTGTTCACGTTTATTTGAATAAAGCTGCACTTGCGTTCAGTAGTGATGGGAGAAACAAAGCTTTTCAAAGCTTCAAATCAGTTAAACCAATTTCTTCGCAAAATGATTCACTGTTTTGAAGCGTTAGTCTAAGCGTGCAAGCGTGTAGTTTCGAAACGACACACACTGGCCAAAAACTGCATATAAACACCTTCTACAAACCCATTACAAATGTTTTATTGAAAGTACAATCTATCAAATGCAATTAACTAATAATCTAATATGATTAAATATCAAGTTTCTGTATAATATGTGCTCTTGTATCAATTTTCAGTGCTTGTTCTTGTTTTGGAATTTTTCTATTATTACTCTGATTTCAGTGATTCCTAATGATGGCCTCATCTGTTCTCACGAATGTAGTGAGAGGGGGCCTTTGGGTGATAATTTACTGTGGTTGGGAGTCAGTGGAGGTAAGGAAAAGCAGGTGGTCAAGGGGTCATCTTGAGTGCATTTGTACTTTATAGCCTAAAGGGTTAAGGGGCATTTACTCTCAGGGCCAGGGAGAAATAGAAAAAAACAAAGTATATCTCTCCTGTGAGGGGAGGGCAGAAATAAGGCCTTGGAGGACACAAGATATAAAAAAGACAGACACTGCTTCACTTTATCTCTCCACACTGACTCACGAATGTGTATTGGTGACGAAGATCTCTCTTGCAAGAGAATAAATACTTTATAAACTATTAAATTTGACTCAGAGTGTCTCTTACTCAGTGATGATGTTTGTTGGAAAGGAAAAGCCACAACATTCTGTTTATTTTATGGATGGCTCAGCTAAACAGGCCAATAAGAGATTATTAACTACTATTATTCCTTTTAATTATACAAATATTAATTAAATCTAATTCTAATTAAAACATCTTCAAAGGTATAAAACTGATCAGAGATAAGGTTAAACCCACAGACACTTGTTTAATCTGCATGATTCATGGGTTCACAGAGATCATCTTCCCCCAGCGGTGAACCACTGACATTTCCAAACGTTTTGAAACAGTTATGACGCAACTAATCCTCGTTTCCTGAGATCATGTGACTTTGGCAGTTTGATACACGCTCCGAACCACTGATTCAAAACAAAAGATTCGGAAAGGTTTCGTATCTTCATGAAGCGTGTTTCGAAAGCGCCCATCACTAGCGTTCAGTGGATCTTATTACAGGCAGATACTGATCACAGACTTTTAAAATGCACTTGTTCAAAAGTTACAGTATATGCTGCAGCAAAATTAGACATTTTACATTTTGGGAAATACAAACATTGTATGAACAACATATGAACATTTCTGATTCTGATGTCACAAAAAACATTGTTCTATCTCTACAGAAACTGAAATAATTATTGACCCTTGATCCAACTGTCTGTCTTAACCAAATATTTAAAGCTTGATATCAAGTTTTTTTTTATTTGCTGTTTAATTTTATTACTTTAAATTGTTGTGGCTCTGTGTGATGCTGAGGAAAAAACTGCTCTGACTCAAACAAGTGAGGAAATATTATCATCAGCTAACATTGCAACTAAAAGTAAAGTAATATTATAAATAAATGAGCAATACTCACATCAGTGTGTTCAGTCGACAGTGTTTATCCTGCAGTAGAGCAGCGATCTGATTCACTTGTGTGTCTCCTAGTTTATGTACACTCAGATTCAGCTTTCTCTGGAGAAACGGGTTTTCACCCACAACTCTATTCACATACTGACAGGCTTCCTCTGCAGCAGGACTCAAAAACCTGCAGAACAGTCAATTCGGTTCTCAAATAAATGTCTGTTGCATTACAAAAAAGATTGATACGATAATTTTTTTTATTTTTCTTTGAACATTTAAATACACAAATAAATATAAATTTTAAAGAAACTAGAGCGACACTCAGTCCTAAAGCAAACTCATAAGAATAGAAACGTCTCACGAGCAGAGGGGCAAAAGCTCACTAGATCATGGTTTTCAGTATGAATACAGAGTGTGAAAGTAAGATCTTTCTGGCTTTTAAGCAGGAGAAGTGAGAAACGTCAGCACAGAGAAAACTGGCTTGTGAAACTGCATGTTTTGTCATGATTCTGCCCTCTTGTCATTTCATTTCTCTAGTCTTGAGGCAGGATCATGACAGACCCATGTTTTGTGTGCAGGCACATGGCCTTGATTTTGTGTTGTGTGCTTGTGTTGTCTCGGTCTCTTTCCCCGCCCCCTTGTTGTCCTCATCTTGTCTTCATTGCCTGATCAGTGTCACCTGCTGTCGTTATCTGGTCTCCCTATATTATCCCCTTGTGTTTGCTGTCTTGTGCTGGTTCATTGTGATTGATTGTGTGTGTATCCACACACGGTAATACTTGTGAGTACCTTGTCTTGAGTTCTGTCTAAACAAAGAAGTTTTCTTGTTATAGTTATTTTGTTCCGGTGAAGTTTTATGTTTAAGTCTTAGTCTATTGTTGTTAGTCTTTTGCTTTGCCTGTGCTGTTTTTCCCCCCTCGTGGGGTTTTGTTTTCCCTTTTTGTTATCAATAAACCTTGTGTGTCAGCAAACTGTCTGCAATTGGGTTTGTTCCTGAAGATCCGTGACAGAATGAACCAGCCAAAGAAGAACCCAGCAGACAGTTTGTCTTTTTCTGCCAAGCGACAATCTGATCCCCTTGAACAATGGTGGCTGTCGACTACCTCCGACATGAAGAGTGGCAAGGCACCGTTTTCCCCCCAGGGAGAGAGGTCGTTGAGAGAGTATGCCCAGGCCGTGGAAGAGAGGAGGAGGTTCTTGCCTGAGATCCTCCTCAACTCATACTTCATCGCAGGTCTCAATGGTCCTCCTCCTTTGACTGAACGGGAGGGGCTGATTCGCCGTCCGTTTTGGGAAGTGGTGGACCGTTTGTGTCAGGAGGAGCTGCAGGGCTCCTCCACGAGGTCTTCACCTTCTGCCTGTCTGCCTGTTATTCCTGAGGGTCGTTTGTTAGGCGTCGCGACGTTTGGGAACCAGGTTAGCTCCTCCACGACTCCTGAGATTCCATCTGCTTCCTTCGGTCTTCGTGGAAAACGAGGGAGGCGGACCTCGTGGGAGTCCCCTTCAGAGTCCTCAGCGACGGAGTCAACCCACCCAGAGAAAGCCCCTCTTCCGCCCGACACGGTTCCTGCTGCACTTCCCCAACCGGTCACAGATCCGGCTATGGTCTCTGCTTCCCGCCCTAGGAGAAAGAGGAGGAGGAAGGGGGCTTCCCGTTCCCCGTCTCTTCCTTCCCCTGAGCCTGCGACGGTTCCTGGACCAGCTGCTGAGGGCAATGCTTCAGCCAGCGCGGTTCCCGAGCCAGTCTCTGCCAGCGCTGTTCCCGAGCCGGTTTCAGACAACACTGTTCTAGGATCTGTTCCCGTCAACTCTGTTCCAGTGTCAGCTGCAGACATCGCAGGTTCAGAGTCTGACATGAGTAGCGCCTCTTTTGAATCTGATATGATGAGCGCTGTTTCTGGTTCTGCTACTGAGTACACTGACCCCTTTCCTGCTCTTCAGCCAGCCACAGTGTTGCCCATCTCCGCCCCACAGTCGCCTACATCTCCCCTGTCTTTTGTCATGTACCGTCTCCTTCCCAGTCTTGTTCTCCTAGCACTTCTCCACATGTCACCCTGTCCCAGTCTGATTCCCCCAAGGCTTCTCCACGTGTCTCCCCGTCCAAGTCAGCCCGGATTCCTCGTCCTCAACCCTCGACCCGTAAACCCAAGACCCCCAGTCCTCCCACCCTCCCTGGTCAACCACCTATGAACTTTCTTGTTCCCCCGCCCCCCCCTCCCTTGTTTGTTATTTTTATTGATGCATCCCAACCCCATTATTGTATATTCTTGTATGCCGTTGCTTTTATTTGTCATGTTTTGTTGGTTTGTGTCTGTTTCCCAGTCTGTCATGTCTCGTGTTTGATGTCCTCTTTTGGAGCATCTGGTTGCCGCTCCTTAAGGTGGGGGTTCTGTCATGATTCTGCCCTCTTGTCATTTCATTTCTCTAGTCTTGAGGCAGGATCATGACAGATCCATGTTTTGTGTGCAGGCACATGGCCTTGATTTTGTGTTGTGTGCTTGTGTTGTCTCGGTCTCTTTCCCCGCCCCCTTGTTGTCCTCATCTTGTCTTCATTGCCTGATCAGTGTCACCTGCTGTCGTTATCTGGTCTCCCTATATTATCCCCTTGTGTTTGCTGTCTTGTGCTGGTTCATTGTGATTGATTGTGTGTGTATCCACACACGGTAATACTTGTGAGTACCTTGTCTTGAGTTCTGTCTAAACAAAGAAGTTTTCTTGTTATAGTTATTTTGTTCCTGTGAAGTTTTATGTTTAAATCTTAGTCTATTGTTGTTAGTCTTTTGCTTTGCCTGTGCTGTTTTTCCCCCCCTCGTGGGTTTTTTTTTCCCTTTTTGTTATCAATAAACCTTGTGTGTCAACAAACTGTCTGCAATTGAGTTCGTTCCTGAAGATCCGTGACATGTTTGTGAACATCTGGAGACTCATAGACCTGCTACAGAGAGATGCAGTGAATCTGGGCTTGATGGAAAACAATTGTGTTCAGAAAACTATTTCACTAAAAGGTTATCTAGAATTTTGATGAGAAGTGTGCACAAAAATAAAATTGTGCATTTCAATTATCAAGGTATACTCCAGAATAGCAGCACATACAGAAGGTACTCTACCAGAATGCCTATTACCGGCGCGCAAAAATAAACCAGTGGCATTCAAAGTCGTTCGCGAAATGGCCGCCAGGTAGAGCAAAGGGACATTTAGCAAAACAGCAGCAATTGCCGCATTTTGAAACTAAGTGGGGCTAATGTCAATTAACAGTAAGGATGAAATACTACAACTATGGTAATTTCCAAATAAGCCTACAACAAACATGAAAAATCAAAACAAGAGCTATGTACATTTGCTGTACAATAATGAAACAAAGATTTGGTGGAGTTGAACGTGCATGTTTAAGTAATAATTGTATTATTAATTAAAGAAAAACTATTTGGTTAATGTTATTTAATCAAACAATCATACAATTTATAGTTGTAGTATACATATAGACTTTTATTTGTACGAACATTGAACTATTATATAACAAACGAAACCGAATAGAACAAACTTTTAGAACAAAAAAAATATTTTTTTAAAATAGCCTATAGGCTACAACAGATTTGGTTAAATTTAACGAAAGCAAAATGTAATTATGTAAAAGTAAATTTTAAACCGATTATAACAAACTTTTAGAGCAGAACATTTTATGAATCAAAAGTTAAAATAGGCCTATCTGTCACGGTGTGGGTTCATGTCTTGTTCCTGTCTGTCCTGTGTTTCCCTTGTCTTGTGTGAACTTTAGTTATTTCTGTGCTGTGTCATGTTTTGTAGTCCTTTTTTCTGGTTTATAAGTATCCCCAGGTGTTTCTGATTAACCACGCCCTCTTGTTATCTTGTTTAGCTCGTTTACCCCTGTATTTAAGCCCTGTGTTTCAGCCCTGTGTTTGTGAGTTGTTAATGTTGTAATGGTTGCTGTTTCTGTGTTCCTGGTCTGAGTTTCTTTTGTTTGTTTTATTAATAAATGTGCTTGCAATTGGATTCACTTCTCGCTTTCTTCTTCCCGCATCGTTACACTATCTCGCAGTCAGTGAAAATAAATGAGGTGCAATGACGCTAACAGGGGCGAGTGGGACCAAAACATCTACCGGGCAATTTCGTAGACAACCGGCCCTCGTGGGGGGTTGATTTGTTTAAATATAATATTTTAATATCTAATTTGCTGGGTTTAAGCTGGGTTTAATAATTTGCTGGGTTTAATTTCTTTTCCTCTGTATTCTGTAGCAAATTCTGAAAAGGCATTTGTAAGCTATAATTCATGCTGTGTACTGTATCTTAACTTGAGAAGCCAGAACCCCTTTTACATTTAATAGAAAACATAATGAACCACTTATATTTTGTAAAAATGTATAAAAATGTGGGTACATTTGCAATGCTAATAATATGCATTATTACAGTCTGTAAATATCTCTTAACAACACAATGCAATCACTAGTAAGACTTCCTGTTAATAAAGTATCTGGGAAGAATCTATTCTATATTAACAATGCATTAAATCACATTACACATTAATAAACCACAATAAATAAAACAAATTAAGTGATGTATCGTGTCTCAAGTCAAGTGAATTACGGGTCATTGGACAGGCGTCCAATCACAACTGACTTCCGGAAAAGGGGAAGTAACCAATGACATTTGAGGTTATTAAAATAGTAAGTCCCGCCCCTCGACTGCCAAAAATAAAACTGTTCAGTGAGCAAAAGCAGCAGGCGAGGGCAGATCAAGCGCAAGAGCGTGGGCAATGATCATGCGCCGCGATGGCTTGTATTGCGTGCAGAGGAGATGTCATGTGGGCGCGCGGTTTTTGAATGAGCTCGCGAGTTCCCGTTTCCTCACGTGTAGATCTGTTATCCTCTCGCAGAAGTCATTTACCGAGTGCGCCAGCATCAGTTGTGCGCTTGGTTATTATTGCCATTGATTTGCCACCATAAAAGCTGGCCTAAACCGAAATAGCGTTTTCATTCTTTAGTCATTGAAATAATTTTGATAAACTTTTATGACAGAAATATTACTACATGTAGCCTAAATTATTTAATTCCTTCATTATCAACACTTTAATATCAACTCTTTGTCTCAGACGCTCCTCAGAGAGCCTGTGGGGGGTTGGAGGGAGAGTTCAGTGCTTATCGTGGGGGTGCAGGACAAGCTGTTAATCGC